TGTGGTGGCAGGACTGAGCACTTGGAGTCTGAGTGTAAGGGCATGAGAAGTGCAAACATTGGACTTAAAAAGACCACTGGGGAAGAGCTGCTTTTCTGAGGAGGAACTGTCCAGCTGCTGCACTCTGGCCTGGGGTGTCTCAGTGAGTGACCAGGCTACTGGTGAAGCTAAGCAGGATCAGCCTCTGTGTCCTCCTTGCCAGGTAGGTCTGTCGAAGGGAACAGGAAGGAGCTCAGGGACTTGTTTTCACGCAGCGGAGATGTTGGCAGGAGGAGTGTCTGTGGAAGCACTTCCTTCCAACCCAGTGTCACAGGTGGGTCCTGACCACTTGGCCTTATGGTATTGGTTTCTTTTTTAACCAGAGTTCCTGTGAAGTGATTTCAGGGCAGATGGGGAGAATCCAAATTACCAACACTCCTGGCCCTTTGTGCTGGGAGGGCAACTGTTGTGGTTTTTGCCAAATACAAATGAATGTAGTGAGTCTTGGAGCCTGAGATGCTGTGACCAGGATTGCTCTGTGTTTCCTGGGGGGTGGTGACAGTATTCATGTAGATTGCACATGGAACAGGCAGAAGCAGTTTTTGCTACTGTTCCCTGATGGTGACTGTCCAGTGCCAATCTGAAAAAACTTACATTCCCTCCTCTGTTTTGAGAGCATTGTTTAAGACCACTTTTTTTTTTTTAATTGGGAGGAAGAGAAATAAAATTAGTTGGCTGATGTTCATTAACAATTGTTGCCAATTTTTTTTCCTGGATGCTTGTGTTGATCATGTTGTAGTAATGAAATAAAAGCACTTTACCAAAGTTTTAGCCTTATTTAGAGGCTGAACCATAAAGGCTGGCTCCCTACATCAGAAAGTGGTGTGTAATAATGATGGTTTCTAGCTGGGGGGGGGTCTAACAATTTCAATACTCCAGCCTGCTTTCTGTGAGGGAGGCCATTTTATGGTGTCCTCTGCTGGTTGGCACTCTTAGCCAGCTCAAGGTGGGGTGTGCATACAGCCCTGTCCAGGAATTTTAAACCCTAAGTTCCTTTTGTATGCAGGGGATGCTTACTCCTCTGCACTCCAGTATTAGTGATAATGGTGAATGTTCAACTTGGCAAAACTTTTAAAAGGCTCCCACCATTGAGCCCAGACCTCACCACCCCCCCTCCCATAAAAACTCAATGCAAGTCAGTCAAAAGTTCAATTTTTTATTTTACTCAGCCACTTAACAGTTCTTCAAAGACTGGCCCCAACAAAGCCATTAACCCCCCCATGCCAATGCACAGGAGGGCCTCCCCCCTATGGGCAAAATGCCCATGCAAAAAAAAAGGGCACATGGACAGTTTGTCCACAGGGGGGAGACCACCGCTGCCAGGCCACGCACACACCCAGAACACCTGCAAGACAAAAAGAAAAAAGTTAGACCAGAACGCTGACAACACCCACCACCACACCGCAACGCCGCCCACGCACGTTCCACGACACCAGCGCCCGCCTGCCCCGAAACGCGAAACCCACGGCCGTCGCGGAGACGCGCACCCCCACGGCATCGCCCTCGCGTGACCAGACTCCTCAAGCCTTCGACTTCCAGGCCCCCCCCCCAAAAAAAAATCTTCGGGGTTGAGGGATCCTCCGGCCTCTCCAGTCACGGCCCCACGCCGCTGCTCCGTCTTCGCACGACATCCTGGGGGGAGGTG